TTTGCAAGGAACAATTTTTGTTAGAGTCAAAAATTTGAGATAGAGATACTTTAATGATTTGTTCTAGAATATACATCTATAATCATGTCTCGAGTTATTATATAATTAAGTTTCCCACTAATAAATTTCTATTACTTACCTATCTATACTAAATATTTGTATTTATCATTTGTTGTCCATATTTATCATTTATCTGTAATATGATTTCTTCTGCCATGCTTATAGCAGCACACTTTGTACCCTCATGTCATGTTTATGTTGTTAAGAATTGGAATCGGTTTGTCAACTAAAAAAATTTGTATAATAAATTATTATGTTTAGTTGACTATGTTGCATACGTTGCTCGTTATTTTTAAATTCTATCAATTGTTAATTGGAACAATTCTTAACGTCAATGCAAATTATAAGACTTAATAGGACAAATAATGATTAAGCATTCTTTACTGTCATAATGTTACGTATCAATTTTAAATTCTGTAAATTGTTATTTGACACGTCATTTTTCAATTTCCACTGATTAGAAAATGAATTAAAAATAAATAAATAAATAAATAAATAAACAGAACTTAAGAGTATAAATCATTATAAATGCCTAAATATATTAAACAATAAATATTTAGCATAAACAGGTGCCAAGTAAAAATTACATGCCAAATTCGAAATATTCGAAGACCATAATAAACATTTGTAATAGTTTTAATTCTTAAAGCACTATTTATTTTTTTTTCGGTTATTATAAGCTTCAAGTATTCGATCAAAGGCTTTATGAGTTTGGAAATCATATCTTCACGAATCTAACAAAGAAAAAAAAAATACATGATAGTAAAAGAATTACTTTTTTTTTTATCATCATCATCAATTTAATATCTATCTGTATGCAAGCTTCGTGATCAGCATTAGGAATTGACCAGTCATTTTTCAATAGATGGATAACGAAAAATGACATGCGTTGATTAATAACTAGCAGGACTTAAAATGACGCATAACATACAGTATGTAGTTGACTATTGAGATCGGGAGAACGGCGAGTCTATTGCTCTAAATAGATATTTGGAAAAGCGATTCTGGAAGATTTTTGGGTAGTCTCATTAGATTGAGAGTATATCGTCGTGGTTTACTTAGTGTATTGAATGGGATGATAGTTACGCAAGATTGGAATTTTCTAGTAATCTTTTATAGCCGATAAATATTATATAGACCGTTTTAAAAGACCAAATTACGTGTAATACTAATCACATTTCAGATCAACACAAAAAATTAAACAACGCAATTAAATTCGTGCTTTATTTGTGTTGCACTGTAACAAACGATGACAACTCGTTGCAAATGTTAATCGTTTTAAGTAAATACAATTAAATTCTAATCGGCCGTTTCTATTATTCATGCTTATTGTACAACGTTTACTTACGAGGATAACTTTATTCATTATGCAATTGTAGATCGTTCACAATTAAAATCACGTTTTTTACTGGACCAATAAAATTATAAATACATATAAAATATGACTATGATATTAGGGATGTTAAAATGGTCTACAGTATGATTCAATCTTTGGTCCGGTTTATAAATTGAGATCTGCAATTGCGGTATAGAAATAATTATACGTAATTCGGGTTAGACTGGATCATTAATCCTTGATCTTGTGATCCAGATGGGATCAATTTAACATTCCTATATGATATGACTATTTATTATTTCTAAAATTAAAAATTAGACTTATAATATTTTAAGTCTGACAAATTTTTATTACTCTTCCACAAAGAACGATTTTTAATTAAATTTTTTAGTTATAGATATCTAATACGCATACGTATAGACTTTGTCTTTCTATTATTGGTTAATTGTAACATGTTAGCCATAAAATATTTTAACCAATTACAAGAATGTTATTCAATATAACACAGTAACCCTTGTTTATTTTTAGTTAGTGTTTACACACACATGTTTATTTATTCCTATCGAAATTCAGAATTTATCGTTATTGCATAAAAAAATAATTTTGCTTTGTTTATAATGCCATTCTAACAACAAATAAATTGCGCAATTACCAAATAAATTCTATGATTATGATTTAAAAACAAAAGAACCCACTGCGCATTGCAAGAAACAATTTAGTTACACAATTTTATTGCATAACTCCGAAATTTTAAGCAAGGCAGTTCATTATTTTAAACAATCATTTTAATACCTATTCAAAGCTACGTAATTTTGTGGCGTTGTCCGTTATAGAAATGGCAACCTAAATTGGATAAATCACACAACTTGTAGATAATTCGATTTCGTTTTTTGCACAAATGTGGATAAAGAAATGATTGGGAATTTCTTTCAGCAGCACTAATAATTTTGTATTTAGAATATATATGTTACTTGATATAGACTTTTTTTCAGATGATCATGCCATTTCTGTATTTTGTTCATTTGAAATCCAATTGTGGCTCTGTTCATTTTTAGAATCTCGTTACGTATATACATGCATATGTACGTGTTGTTTAGAAAAATGGCTTCTAAAATAGTACTGTTCTATGACATGTTAGCATATTTTTTTAATGTATTTTATAAAACAAAAAAGCTATATATATTGTAAAAGTCTGAAAATAAGTACCACACACTCTCTTACCCTAATACCAGGTTAACGGAAGTAAAAGAGTTTATCGCTCTTTCCAATAATCGGGGAGTGAAAAAAATAGGGTAGGAGGTGTGGCATTTGTTTCCCAAGTTTTACTGTATTAAAATTCGCCAATTCGGTTATCAACGATATATTTTCGCCCACCAAAATGAGTAACAAATCGAGTGTTATAGGAGATAATCCCATGAAAGTTTATGACCAACTCGCTTTGGCGCAGGTAAGATGTCTCCGAAATTTATATAGTTTTACAATATATGTTTGGTTTGATACAACATTATTTGAGAATGTAGTAAAAATATATATATTGAAGATAGTTATTGAAATATTCTACAGAATAATCAAACCTCATTATATATTGCTTTAATTTGCAAAGTAAACCCTTACAGTAATTATAGAATCTAAATTTTTCTAATAATATGCTTGTATTCGTAATAGATCATTCTTACGTTACTGTTTTCTTTGGCAGTTTATGCTGCTTTAAAGCATATACGTCAACCACCAATCGTATGTGGTGCAATATGTGGCGTCATCTTAGGTGTCTCCGCAGTTGGACATATTCCGGGATACATGGGTACTATGTTTCCAGAAGAATCCCTCGTTTATCTCAAACTTCTTACCAATTTAATTGGGATTCTAAATTCGTTCTTAATCGGTGTAAACTTGAATCCCAAAGTTGTATACGATAATATAAAATCCGGAATTATTATCTCCATATGTGGCATCATACTACCTTTTACACTGGGATTAGGTATTGCGTGTGGCATGTATAAGGCAATGAACAATTATGTTGACGTTGATGGCGTCTCCCACGATGTGCCATTTCCGACTTTTGTATTATTCGTTTGTACTCCTATGGCTATTACGGTAAATAATTCATTGTTTAAACATGTGTACCCTTCGTAGTGACATTAATATTTATCTTTGCAAAATTAATATGATCGTTAAATTATAGGCATTTCCGGTTCTTCGGCATGTCTTATCAGACATAGGCTTTACAGACACGGATGTGGGTAATAAAGCATTAACTGCTGCCTTTAGTGACCACATAGTTGTTTATATTTTAATATCCCTAGCCACGTCAATAATCAATATCAAGAACTTTTTCTTTGCACTCTTTTTCTGTGCTATCTGGATCATAGTTGTCAAGTTCATAATTTTTCCATTATTACTAAAACTTATTATTAGACCAAGTTTAGATAATGCAAATCCATCATTATCGATAGTTGCCATGATTATATCGATCGTCTTGATATCTTCGTTAATTACAAATTACATTGGAATTCATTACTTTCTTGGAGGGTTCATTATTGGGATGATACTTTCTCAGGAAGATTTCGCATTATCAATTGCTGAAAATATTAAGGTTCTAGTAACTATCCTATTTATACCAATAGTATGTATTAACTTTAATATACATAGTCGTTAGAAGAAACCATTTTTACAATGTTTTTAGGCATCTTCCACAATTTATATTTCTCACAACTTAATTTAACATAAATACCCGTTTTAAAAAAATTTTTATTTTTTCAAAATTTACACCAAACCACATTTTATGCTCTAACAAAAAGTTTTTCCTCTAATCCTAACTTAATGAACCTAAAAAATTGTATTTCATGCATTTTTTCATGTGGAAGAAATACATTCTGCAAAAGATGCCTATAATTTCCAAAGTTTAAAAGTCGAAAATTATCGACCTTTGTCAACTTCATAATTTAGGATTTAAGTTGACAAAGTTTCTTGGTTTCATCTAACACCTATAACCATTTGATAAACACTTGACAAATCACAATACGTACATAATCTGTTTTTTTTTTAAATTGACCATTTAGTCAAATTACTAACAGTTAAATATATTTTTCTTAAAGTATTTTTTACTATCCGGATTGAAGACTAACGTTAGTTCCCTGAGTGGCACAGAATGGGGTTGGGCAATCTTGATAACCGTAGTTTCTATAGTCAGCAAAACATTTGGCTGTAGCATTGGTGCCAAAATAATTGGTATATCTTTTAATGATGCTTTAACGATTGGGGCCTTTATGAATTATAAAGGGTAATTATTAATCTAATATGATAATAATTATTATTATCTGTTATAATAATTTTTTAATATTGAAAATCTTGAATTCTTATATTTTAATAGTGCTTTAGAATTGATAGTTCTCAATATTGGTTTTGAAAAAAATTTTATAAGTGATAAAGTTTTCACGATCATGTATATAATGTAGGTATTAATTTTCTTCCATAAAAAAAATATTTATGTACATGTACCCGTTAATACAATAATGCAATCATGTTAATCCATGTTAACATATGTAGGATATTAGTGGTGATGTTCGTCACAACTCCACTTGCTACTTATCTGTATCAAAGGAAAATGGTGGGTTTCAGACTATTGGCTATTAAGACAACTGATCAATCGGATTCAAACCCAAATAGAGATCTTAAATCTATAACTATTCGTCTTATTGAGCTTACACAACGTACGTCTATGGCGATGAAATTTCATGATCTCCCAGACACTCCACAAGAAATGGATATATTTTCTGCATTTGGTCAAACTATTCCAATGGTAGTTGATTCTATGCCAGTTGTTGCCGCATTAAAAAACTTTTGTCATGAAAATGCTGAAAATGTTAATTTAGTAATAATTCCATGGGGTGGTGCTGGTGAGATAAAAGATACGCAAAATGAAAATACAAAAGTCCATATCACACGTGATAAAAAGAATTGTTGTCATGAAAATGCTATAAGTAGTATTTCGGTAATGATTCCATGTTGTGGTGTCAGTGAAATAAAAGATTCTGATACGTCAAATGAAAATGTGGAAAATCATATTGCGGATGAGAAAGATTTCACAAGTCCTCAGATTGCAAAACTTGTTCAGACCATTTTCAATGAGATTAAGATTTATGCAAGTGTGGGCGTGTTTGTTGATCGTGGTCTTAGTAGTGCAATCAGTGCAACTACATTTTCTGATCCTACGGAATGTCTTCGTGTGTTCGTACCTTTTTTTGGTGGTGCTGACGATCGTGAGGCAATTACTTTCGCTCTCAGATTGCTTGAATATCCAAATGTTGATGTAACCGTGTTGAGAATAAAAAAATCAGTAAATCCTACTGAAAACAACGTCATGCCCAAAACTCAACAAATTGTCGACGAACTAAACGGTTGTCCTTCGCATGTCCGAAGCATGTCGACTATTAATTCTAATTATGCTGCCTTACAGGACTCTAAAGATGATGAATTAATTTGGACTAATGTAAGGTCGAAAGAAAATAGGCCCCATTTGTGTTGTACAGAAATTAATTCTTTTACTCCAATACAAGATGCAATTAAGGAGGCCAAAAACCATTGTCACGAACGAAAATACTTAGTTATCCTAGGACGTAATCGTTATTCTACTGTGAATGAATCACATCACAGTAGATATGGCAATGATACATATCAATCTTTAGGATACGTTGCTGAAGCATTTTTAGCTGGAGGTATTATTCCAAGTCTTTTAGTATTAGAGGCAAAGCACGTTGAACAATGATAAAATTATTATATAAGATATTTGTTAAGTAATTTTTTGAAGTTTGGAACTGGATATTTTAATATATATATTTGAATATCCAGATTAACCTAAATGAGCTGGATATTCATTTATTTAGAATAACAATTGTTATCCGGATCCAGACTCAAGGTTTTCTTTTCTATAATTATTGGCGTGAAGGGTAATTAGTCATTGATTCATTATTATCGTTGAATAATTCCTTCTCGATTAGTAACATAAGCAAGAACCATGGCACAAATCATGTCTATTGATAACCCTTGACATGATATCCTTTGTTCATATTGTGCCATATTAAGAATAATTTATTTTTAATGAAGATTTTTATTTAATAAAGCTCTGTTATAAGAAGTTAAATAGGAAAAAAATTTATCATATATTATTGTTATACTCTATGATATAGTAATAATTAATTGATGTCAATTATTTGTATACTCAACAGTTATTTGAGATCGTTTTTTTTTTAGCGAAAATTATATTTTTGTCAGGTAATAAAAATATTTTGGCAAGTAAAAGGTTGTTTTTAATGTAGAAATGTCAATTTTGATGCTACAGATGTCAAATACATCCTGTTAAGATAACTCTACAACTTGTTGCTATAAGAGTTTAAATTTTGAGCCTGAGGTCGTCGGAGCGGTTTTCTCAGCGTGTTTAAGCAAAATTCTAGAATAATTTAGTGATGCTAGAAAAACAATTTTGCTTAAGAACCTAAGGGTAATTTGATTGTTTTATTAAAATTTTGAGATATAACGTTTTTAGTTTTAGATGATTTTTGGAAATGGATTCACTGTTGGTTAATGGAAAGAATTTTTTATGTTAATAAATATTGAGCTCTTATTTATTATTATTATTATTTTAAGCTCTTATTTTAATTGTATTCTATATAATATACTGGTTAAATATTCATTTCAATACTGCCTTTAGAATAAGACTAATACTGTAATATACGTATTTCTCTAATATTATTTGCCTACCATCTATGAATATTTAGCTACTGTAGTTTTGTTTTTTAAAGGCAATTAAGAATGTTTTTTTCCAAAAAAAAAAAGCAATATTCAAAAAAAAGAAGAAAAAAAAGGATTTATAAAGTTTGAATCAATTTAAAATTTCCAGAGGAAATAGTAAAATTGGAATACGCATCATGTGACTGCATCTCATCATTAACACTAGAACGTCATATACAGTAGTATCTCGAAGGTTTATTATACCATACAGTACACAATTTTTACGGTAAAATTTAGGGGAATTTACGTATAAGGGCCCAAAAAATGAAAATAATTACAAATTGGGGCCCAAATTAAAAGTAATTACATA